CGGAGCTTCATTATGTGGCATTATCTGTCTGCTTAGCCAGCAGTCTTAACCTGGCCAACTGACACCGGCCTACAGCGAGGCTTTCCTACAACTGGATTTACTCACGGTGAGGGGAACTGCGGGCTAAAGGGAGCAGAGTATCAGAGGAGCCCGCTCTGGACCTGTACCAATCTGATCCTAATATTTATGTCAATAATCACCACACAGCATGGTGCAGTGCTTTTGTCCAGGCGGTAAAGGTAGGTGTGCACACCCTCACACGCACTCTCCCTCGTCACACTCAGCACTCGTGCACACGAGTGTGCGCCAGGAACAAATTTCAACACACAGTTGCAAAACCACTTCGGCTCGCCCTGTCAGTATTCACGCCAGAGCCAGCCTGCACGCAAAAAACCCTCTGTGCCCGCCAGCTGCGTCGGCCCACGTTTTCGGGGAGCTCAGATCGCAACCCACGCAACAGACACTTCACGGGTGCTCTCACACCGGTCACAGCAGCTCCCAGAATGCTTTGCAGGAGCAGCCAGCAGCCTCAGAGTGCCACTGGTGCACACCGCATGTTTCCAAAGTGACGCATGCAGCGCAGCGTGCTTTCTGTAAACACACTCACCACACAGACACAGGGAGCCATTGTTCACACAGAAACACCCCCCCGCCTTGTACACACACACACACACACACACACACACACACGCACACACACGCACAGCTACTGTGACAGACTGCTGACTGACACCTGCTCACTACAACGCAAGACTTGCTCTAACAGCGGCACATTCCTGTGGCTAAGTCGCAGCTCTCAGGGCCCTGTTAATGAGCGCAGGCACAGACACAGACGCACAGACGGGGTTAAGTGTTAGGCCACTAACCTGTGCAGCACATCAGGGACTGCAGGTGGGCATTCAGGCTGCTCTCATTACAGTACACCGGCCACATCCTTCCTATAGTCCCTCACTCCACTCCTCTTTCGTTTTGCAGTTTACCTGTCACTCCTCCTCTCTCACTCTCTCTTGCTCTCTCGCTCCCTCCCTCCTCTCCCCCCTCTCTCCCCGCACTGAGATAAGAGGGGCAGAGAGAGGGAGGTACAGGTTTGTCTGAAGCCGAAGGGCCTCGCAGCTCTGAATCCCGCTGACAAAGGAGCGTGGACGGATTCGGAGGGGGCGACGGACAGTGAAGGGGAAGGGGGGGGGTTGAACGGTTCTCAGGCGACCTCTCTCCGCGGCGCGTCTCTCTCGTTCCCTCGCTCTCTCTCTCTTCGCTCCGTCCCCTCTGCTGCTGCCATTTCCAAAGCCAGCTCGCGGTAGCAGTTCGTCTCACACGTGTGTGTCAGAGTCAGAGGAAGCTCCTCCCCTCCACTAATAAGGATAGCCTGCCCTCCCTCTCTCCCTCCCTCCCTCCCTGTCACTCTCTCTCTATTCTTGGCACCCTCTGGTTTACAAGCAAGTCTTCCGGCAACAGTTTAAGAGCACTGATCTCTCTGTGTTGTTTTTTGACGCTGCTGCTGTTGTTGTTGCTCAGAGTCTCTGGAGCGGTACGTCAGTTTCACAACCTTCTCTGTTTATGATGTGTGGGGGGGAAAGCCAAGGTCATAAAGAAGAAAGTATCTTTAGCTCCAGGAAGCAAGTTCAAAGAAAACAGGTGAGCTAAGATAAGCATAATGTTGTACTCCTGTGCTCCTGTAATGCTGTACTCCTCTTGGCACAGACAAAAAAATTAATAAATATATAAATGAAATGAAGTATCAGGATTTCCTGGTAAATGAGGAAGATGAAAGTTCCAGCAAAAGGGCAACGAGGTCAGGCCAGGTCCATGTCCCTCTCTGATGATGTCATCCACTCACTCAGCCCCTCGGGTTGCTGGGCGTCAGACGATGTCCTGCTTTATGCTCCAGACGGTTTCCATGTGAACGCTCGGCTCGTTCTCCCTGAGACACCAGGGCGCTGCGGCCTTCACAGCCTGCTGTTGTCACGCACAGAACCGTACTCCTGCAGAGATGGGTGTGTCCTGGATCCAGAACCCCCTCAGAGGGCACTTCGGGGAAGGCCTGAGGAGCTGCTGGGAAGCCCCAAAAACCCCCTTCAGTGCCTCTGACCTGGGAAAACCGAGCTCCCAAACCCAGCCAGCTTCAGTGCACAGAAACGTCAAATCACAGCTAACAACCAAGGGTCCAAACCGGCCAGACCATCAGAGCTATGTGCATGCACGTGTGTGTGCGTGTGCGTGCACGTGTGTGTCTATGTGTGGCGTGAGAGACAGAGAGAGGCCTGTGGGAGACACGCACAATAAGATGACTCCCTCTTGGAGAAACTCCGCGAGATCTCCCTTTGTGAGTGATGTCGTCTGATTTAATAAAGAAAGAAAATCAGTGCCAGAGAGCATGCTGTGTGTGTGTGTGTGTGTGTGTGTGTGTGTGTGTGTGTGTGTGTGTGTGTGTGCGTAGGGGGAGAGGGACAGTGTGTGAGGGGAAGCCAGAGAGAGAGAGAGAGAAAGAAACAGAAAGAGAGGGATGAGACAACGCTCGGAAAGAAGGAGAAGTCTCCCAGGTGTGAGTCAGACAGAGTACCCACCAAGGCCAGAGACGGAGCGAAAGAACAACAGAGGAAGAGCCAGAAGAGAGATGGAGAGAAGGACAGGGAGAGGGAGAGAGACAGTGAGGAGGCAGCAGTGGGAGTGCGAGTGCGTTTTAGTGTAGGGAGCCACTGTGCGATTTTAGCCCCCCCCCCCACCGCCTCCCCCGCCACTCCAATCTGACTCCAGGCCAAATCCTCCGCTGACACGCAGCTCAGACCGAAAGAGAGAAACCCCCAAACACCCCCACGGTGCACACACACACGCACACACACGCACGCTGCTGTCCGCGTGTCTCCCCTCCTTCCGTCTCAGTTCATTCCCGTAAACGTCCCTGGTTCCGTCCGATTGGGCGAACACCTCCGCCGCTTCCCCGCTGTCTTACTCCGACGGTCCAACTCTTCTGCTACACGACAGATCCGGAGTAGCCAGCACTGCGCTGTCTGCACGGAGCAAAGCGAGGAGCATCCCTCGAACTCGCGGCAGAAGCGTGCGACAGACACCTCTTTCCCAAAAAGCTCAGCCAGCAGAGCCACTGCTGTCCATGTGGAGGATCCGACTGCCGCCCCGATGCCACGCTGGTCACTGTCAGCTTCCGGTGTGATGTGGAGGCCACGCGAGGTGAGGACCAGATTACACCTGACGCTCTGAGAGGAGCAGAGAGCGACAGAGAGGAGGGCCGTCGCTCACGTACACAGACACACGCGCGTACGCACGCACACGCATATCCAGCGACAGCTCTCACGCTCAGCGTCCAATGGCAGCGCGGTCCTCTCTCCTCCTCCCCTCCCGCAGTTCCTGTACTGTCCCTCGCTTCCTGGAAAAGCCGCTGGTACTTTCACATTCAGCCTCGTTCGCTCCCCCTCTCCTCTCTCCTGCTGTCTGTCACTTTCCTCTCTCTCTCCCTCCTCTTTTCCCTGTCCATTCGTTCCCTCCTCCGGTGCTGTTCCAGTGCGCCGTTTTCCCTCGGCCTTCCGAACTATAAATACCAGATGCAGCTTACGCTCTTAATACCACACAGAATGCTTATCCTTCCCTCCCTCTCTCCCTCCCTCATTATCGCATCTAATCTCTCTCTCTCTCCCTCTCTCCCATTCAGTTCAGCCAGAAAGTTCCCCCTCTCCCACTCCACCTCGTTTTCCAAAGCTAATCTCGTTTCCCACTCTCGTATTCATCCACTATGGCGGGGTCTCTCCTTCTCTCCGTCAGCGGTGGCACCCAGGGACTGGCACAGCTCTCTCTCTCCCCTTCCTCCCTCCCTCCGTACGCTCATTCTCTCAGCCGCTTTTGTCTTAATGAATGGTGAACCACTTCTACAGAGGGAGCGTTGCATTATGGGAGTCAGCGGGCAGGCTCCAAGAGGTTCCGACTGGACCGGGTTGTGAGGACGGACCCAGAGCGGGGCGGTGACCTCAGAGATTCTGCTCGAACCCGTTCCCTCTGCCAGGACCATGCCCTCATGACATTAGCACATATTACATTTGGGCCCCTTGTGACTTAGATGCTCTCATCTGTGAGGTAAACCTCATTAGGGATAGAACATCTGGAAGACTTCCGACCAGACACACACACACACACACACACACACACACACACACACACACACACACACACACCCCTCCTCTGCATCCCATCTGATCGATTTGAACCCGTTGGTATTAAGAAGTGGCTCCATTTGTCTGCTGTTAAAACACACACATACACACACACACACACACACACACACACACACACACACACACACACACACGCCTGCAAGCATATTCAGCATAAACACACACAGATGCCCATTTCAAACAGCTGCACTCAAACACATTTATGGACACAAATCAAATAAACAGACACAAGCAAAAAATGAAAAGGAACAGAAAGAACAACTCCGTAAAAGGTAGGCTAAGCTTTGGGCAAATCAAATTCTCCAAGGGAGACAGCAGTATACATTTGTGCACGCTATGAACACACTTATTGTAGCAAGGTTTCTCCCAGTAGCACTGTATTGCAAGTACAGCACTAATGATTCAGTATCTGCACCTCTACATGCATAATGGGACAGAATGCACTTTTCTTAATTCCCCCCTGGGTAAGAGCATCTGCCAAATGCAAAAATGTACAGCTAAATGTCAGGGTGTGAGCATGGGAGAGGCCTTGCTACTGTGCTGTGCTGTTACAGGGAAAAGTTCAGCACGGTGAGATGTGTCTGAGCAGGTCTCTCCACACAAACCCCAGCCAGACCCACAGACAGCTGCAACACCGTGCCCCCGGCAACAAGTGTCAGGTTCACTCCTGGAACATGACTTTACATTACATTACAGTCATTTAGCCGGCACTCTTATCCAGAGTGACTGACATGGGCTACAGTTTTACATCCTATCAATTTATACAGCTGGATATTTACTGAGGCAATTGTGGGTTAAGTACCTTGCCCAAGGGTACAACGGCAGTGCCCCAGCGGGGAATCGAACCTGCAACCTTTCGGTTACAAGCTCTACCCATTACCACTACGCCACATTGCCGCCCTGTGCGGAACGACCTGTAATCAGACTGACGTTACGCTCTGGTCAAGCGGACGACGTTGCCCCGGCAGCCGTGTTGCTCGGAAACGGCCTCACCTGACGAGCATAAGCTTCTAAAGATGGGGTCTGAGCCTAAAGGCTGTACTTAAGACGAAAAGTGCATTAGCACTAGCGTGCGGGGATCATTAGCGCAAGCGTGCAGGGATTGGGGCCTCAGTGCAAGCCTCGGCCTGGAGAAGGTTCTGAAGGGCTTTGGGTGAGAAAACGCTCATTCTCGCATGGTGACTCAGCAACTTCCCTGCAATGTCGGCAGTGTGGCATAGTGGTAAGGAGAAGGGCTTGTAACCGAAAGGTTACCGGTTCGATTCCCCGCTGGGGCACTGCTGCTGTACCCCTGGGCAAGGTACTTAACCCACAATTGCCTCAGTAAACATCAAGATGTTTTAAGGGATAACATGTAAAAACTGTGTTAGCCACTTCAGATAAGAGCATCTGCCAAATGACAATAATGTAACGCAACCTACACAAGTGGCAGTTTAATGAAGCATGGTGACTCAGCTACTTTCCTGTGATGTCTCCAGCTCTGCTCTGGATCACTCAGTCCAGGCTTTCAGAAAACAGCACACACACACACACACACACACACACACACACACACACAGAGGCTTGCTGCATTTGTCTCTGTCCCAGAAACACACATGCACACACCCCAGTGTGGCGTGTAGATTTCACTCAGATGAAGGGCTCCACCCAGCCCTGGCCCCTGCTTCCTGCAGCTGCTAAAAATACCAGTCACCCTACACACCCCAACGCACACATACGCACACACACTCCAGCGCACACAGACAAATGTGAGCGTGTGTGCGCGACTTTAATTCATTCCATCGCTATAAAATGTAGGTTCCGTTATAAATAGTAACAGAGGGCCTAACAGGTTCGTTTCCATGCCAGTCCCAGCCTGTGAATGGGAGACGGGCTCTGCTCCAACCCGTTCACAGTAGATCCATAGTATCGACGTGTCTGCCCCGTGTGACTCAGAATATTCCACACACTGTGAGGACTTTGTGTGACTGGGAACACAGCTATGACTCTCCATACCTCCATTACGACAACCCATAACGGTCTCCGTCAGCCTGAACGCCACATACAAAATCTGCGGCAACATTAGCACAAAAAGAGATGTGATGTCATGAGCCATCACTAAAGCTAATTGTAACCCATGCCTCATAAATGAGGCTGATTACCCATAATGCACTGCAGTAGTTAGCTGTCAAAAGCCACACACACACACACACACACACACACACACAAAAGCATCAGTAAGTTACAGACATGTAAGGACAAATGAGGACTTGTCCTTTTGCTTTTCCTTTTTTTTAACACTTCTTTATTAAGAGTCAGTATATGAAAACAATCTATAAATGGGCTTGCTGAACATGCCTACACATCCCCCCCAACGCCCACCAGGCATAAATTAATCAGTAGTAATTTCACAGAGGACATCGTGCTCCACTCGTCCGGGCTTGCACACTGGCACGATGCTGGAACACACATAATACTTCACAATAATAAAAACCATACCGCCATCAATTTTGCCCAAACAAATTATACTGTGTTATCTGGTAACAAACAAACAGAAAACAACGCACAGTGACCTGCAACTAAACATTATGACCTTATGCAGTAGATTTGCTTGGTAGGCACTTACAATCAGGAAACCAGTATGTAGCTGATGCTTTTAAAACTTATTATCCACTCACTCCTTTGAATATTTACAGAGCAAATTCAATTTAATTACCCTGAAATGCAGAGCCTGCTATAACGTTTTAATTTAATTTTAATAATTTACTCGGCTGTCCCTGTGCTTTAGATTTCTTATTAGTGTTGAAAGAGTGAGTAGAGTAGTGTTAGTCCTTTAGTGCTATTAACCTGTTGCACAGTTTTCAGTGGGATGATTATACCCCCTACAGGATCACCCTTGAAAATGAGACAACACATTTCAACGAGTTTGTCCTGTTCATTCCCAAATGCAACACATAAATACATAGATAAAGCAGGGGTGGCTGACACAATGATTGAACATGCAGCCCTTTGGCTACCAGATCAGGTCCCTACCCACAATGCCACACCAACACCCTGGACCCGATGGTAGCCCCATCCAGGTTCAAACACGCTCATTTAAATGTGCACTCTTCTGAAGCTGAAGTGTGCTTACAGGCAGACTAATATGGGACCAAATGATCAGTCCAACAGAGCGCCTATGGCCACTGTAGTATACTGATGTACAACTGGGATACAGATCCCTAGTCCAAACGGTTCAAATTAGGTAGCTCATTCTGACCTAGAATCAGTTTATTTTTTTCCAGCAATTCCAGCAATTAATGACTTAAACTAATTAAAATCTGAGAGAGATTGAAACCCAGGACCAGATCAATGCTCATTACCCTCAGTACCCTGTGGAGGACATTTAATATAGACCAGCCCACAGCACCATAGAGTTCAGCACAGCTAGATTCACCCACATCACCACAGACCTCAGTGCAGTTAATCCACATCACCACCAGTTAATTTAATCTGGACTGGACGTATAGTTTGATACGGGTAGGCTAATCCATAACACCTCAGCATTCAGCTAATGAGATCCACGTCACCACTACACAGTTAAGTACAGCTAGACTGGCTCAAAACACCACAAAACACAGTTTGGCTGAAGTGATCCATATTACCACAGACTACCACATTTCACCCACTATACCACAGAGTTCATTAAAGCTAGAATGGACCAGTATTGTTCTTTCCCAGTATCACTCTCTCCAAGCCCACTGGAGGACTTCACACTCCACCAATCTGCAACTGACATGCAGAGAGAGACTGCTAGAGTGACAAAGAAAAAAAAAAAAAAAAACAGCCTGGTAAACTACTCTGCTGAAACAGGAAGAGGAGGAGGCTGAGCAGGAAGCAGGAAGCTGACAGAATCCCTCTATGTGCCCAGACAGAGAGAGAGAGAGAGAGAGAATGAGATAATGTGGAGACCTCACACCATGGCGACTTCCTGTGTGTCCAGGTGTGACGGGGGTCTGTACCTGCGCACTGGGCCCGGCGTCGGCGGTAAAACCACACCCCTGCCGCCGTGAGAACGTGCGCGGCGAGGAAGATGAGGGAAGTGAGGACCGAGGAGTCCAGGCCATCCATCACACCAGCGCAGTCAGAGGACCTGAGTGTTCCCCTGTCTAACCTGGGCCACTCCCGCAAGACTGGCCAGAACTAGGACTCTGTGTGTTCCTCTGCGAGTCTGTCTGTCCTTGTGCCCGTCTTTGTTCGGTGTGCAAGCCTATCTCCCAGTTTTACGAGGGGGAAAAAAATTCTTAGCCTCTTCTCTTATTCATCAGTGACCAACCAGCTTTGAGACATTCCAAGGGCTACAGGTCACTGATTCTCCTTTAGAAAAGGTTTGCTGAGAAAAGCCTACTCGAATACAAATCTGAAATACTGTACTTCGTCTGGACGTCTGCATGTATCCAGCCTGAGCTCACAGGGAGGTTATTATGGGCTGGCTGCCTGTGTCTCCTAATCACTTGCATCCCTCTGTCTTCCCCTCCATCCTCCTCTCTGGTCTTCACGGCCACTTTGCCTCTCGAACTTTATCTCTCCAGCAGTTTCACTTCTCTCTCGCTCTCTGACTTCCACCCGCTCTGTCTTCGGTCTCTGGCTCTAACTTTTTCTCTTTGAAGAAGTTTCTGGTCAGACGAATACCCTCGCCGAGTCTCCTTTCTCTCAAGCTCCCTCCCTCCCTTTCTCTCTCTCTTGCTCCCCCTCTCTCCCTCTCTCTCTGACACCCTTACATAGAATTCCTTTCCCCTGAAACAAGCTTCCAGCTTTTAGCTGTTGCTCAGTGCAGCTTTATAAAAAAAAGTAAATAAATAAATGTAAGAGCAGCCGATGAAGAAGTTGGGCTGCCTCTCTCCGGCAGGGAAACCACAGGCCCAGCTTTCTCTTTCCTGTTTCTGCGTCCGTTAGTGTGTGTGTGTGTTTCAGTCCTGCTTATGTGCACTGTGAGAGTGTGTGTATGTATACACCAGCATCCCTGTTGCTATGAGGAGGCATCTGTGTTTAGATCTATATTTACACAGTTCCATCTGCATCTGAGCATCTCCTAATATGTGTCTGTCTGTACCATCTGAGGGTGTGTGTGTGTGTGTGTGTGTGTGTGTGTGTGTGTGTGTACCAGTTTAAGGTGTGTGCGCATTTGTCTGTGTGTGTACCGACTCAAGGTGTGTGTGTGTGTGTGTGTGTGTGTGTGTGTGTGTGTGTGTGTGTGTGTGTGTGTGTGTCAGAGTTGGCTGCTGGTCCGTGTGAGACAGCTGAAGGCACAATGAGAGCTAAAGCAGGACACTGTGCTATCAAAAGCTCTCAGCACTGCAAACCGCTTTCCTCTCTTAATGGACTCCGAGAGGACACTCGTGGAGTCAGAGTGCTGCAACAGCCGCGTGTGTGTGTGTGTCTGTGTGCCTCTCAGTCACCAGGAATATACACTCTTTCAAGACGCAGTAATATTCTACTTCGGGGCAATAGAGTACCATACTAAAGCCAGTGGCACTGAAGTGCTGTAACCAGCAAAATGGTGATTCAGCATGACTCAGGTCTACAGGGGAGTCTTACTCAGCCCGACAATATGAGGGGGTATGAGTGTGTGTGTGTGCGTGTGTGCGTGTCCGAGTGAGAGAGAGAGAAAGAGCGAAGACCAGTTCATTAGTACGCTGTAGACACCTTCTTATTCCACCTTTCAACCTTTCAATGCCAACAGCTCAGTACTGTAGGCTAACCGTGCATCTCTCTGCTTTAAACAAACACAGCGCAGATAAAACACACAAACTGTGGACCGCAGAGGGAGTACATGTAAGCATGAATGTGTGAGCGAGTGAAGGTGTAAGAGTGAATGAGTGAGTGAGTGAAGGTGTGAGCGTGAAAGAGTGAGTGGGTGAGTGAGTGAAGGTGTGAGC